AATCCCTTCGTGGTATTAAAACCATGGCAACCATTGCCAACCTATAAGAAATATCATATTTTGTCCTTGGTATATGTTACAAGGATCTCTTCTCTATTATTTGCTTGCATTTCAACCTATAATTGTTTTTATTCTTAAGTGTATGACTTTATAAAATTAAATGAACAAAATTATTACTTTTGAATACGTGGTTTCCATAGTAACGTATGTTATAGATGATTTACCAAACATGTTTATCATGCATTTAAGACTCCAGGCCTTCAGCTTTCAGAAACAATCATTGCCACTTGTTTGCTTTGCTGCAAACGTTAACTGTGGGACTCTGAAGATGTTGAAAAATGCCATTTTTCAAACTTTAGGACATGTTGCTATGGTAACCATGACACGTAGCAAACAATTTTTGTCTGATTTGAGTTTACGGTATCAAAGACTTTTATCATAGAGAGTTTGGAGAAATTCTGAGACTATGCGTGCCACAGCTCCTGTATAAAAGTTCAAGTCATTACAGAGAATGGCTCTTAACACGGCAATATACTGGGAAAGAAGTCCAAAAAAGTCTTATAGAGAACAGCTGGACCATGATAAATCATATACAGTGTAAATAGAAAATCATTTTTAGGTAGTTCAGATTCAAATTTGTTAAAATCATGGCCCCAAGAAGTAGGTTACAGTAATTAAATAAAAAAAATTAGCTGAAAATATTAATAAACTATTAAAATCTTTTCAAGAATAAAAAGGAGAGGGGGGCTCAGTGAGATAATTCATAGCATGCTCTGGTTATGCAGATTGAAATTGATTCAAATCATACCAAATTCTGTTATGCAAACATCACTTTATTGTCATGTGTAGTTTTTTCCCTTCAAATTATTGACACACACTGGGGATAGATTGGGACACAAATCTGGGCTCAAATTTTACATTTTTCCTGTAACAGGAAAACTATCTTTCAAAAACATTTCATCTCAGAAACAGCATTCTTACGTTGTATGGATTGAAGTTAATACGATTCCCTGGGGCTACAATATGGGGGTTTAATTTTTCATGTGAATTGGGAGGGGAAAATCTTTTGAATTTTTCTTTCAAAGAACTGCAGGGGCAAGGTGACGCAGGTGATTGTTGTGGCCTTTGAGGCTCTTTTTTAAATTATTGCAAATATTTCATCAATAACACATACGAATACTTTCTTGTTGTTTCATTTACCAGGCTGAACAGGAACATGCAGAACTTTGTTTAGAAGATGACCAAGGCAGAAAGAAACCTGCTTTGGTAATTTTTGCAGATTGTATCCGTTTTCTGAAAGACAATCTATTCAAAGAGTTTCAGAAACAAGGATTAAACACTTCGGCAGATGATATTCGATTTATCATAACGGTTCCTGCTATTTGGGATGACAGATCACGTGGTTTCATGATTAATGCAGCAAATGAGGTTTTGCTTATAGTTTTATTTTAATAATATTAATTCTTGACATACATTTAATTGCTTTATTGTTTAATTTTAAGAATTTGATTTTATGTTATCATCGACTGATGAATGATATATATATATATATATATATATATATATATATATATATATATATATATATATATATATATATATATATATATATATATATATGTATATATTAAAGAAAGATTATTTTGTCAACAAGTTTACTAGATAGTCGGTTTCTAAGTTTCATAAGAAAAAAATCTATCAGTTGGAACTGATGTCATTGGTACACCAGAATTTTTCTTGCAAGTTTGAACAGAAGGGGATATTTAACCAATTTTTTGCGCTACCTGCTCAGGGATCCTTCTTTGGTTTGATCCGCCCTCTTACATAATTTTCCTGCATATTTTCCCTCGTTTTTTAGCTCTACTGGTCAGAGACCAGAAGAGCTTATGCGATAGTAATGTGTCCGTCGTCCGTCCGTCTGTCTGTCTGTCTGTCCGTCTGTAAACAATTTTTCAAAATGCTACTCCTCCTACAGTTTTGGTCTGATTTCAATATAACTTGGCACACAAATAGACTACACTAAGATACATAATTCTGTGTATCGGTTTTTGATTTCGATGAACGGTGTTGCCATGGTTACTAAAAATAGAAATTTCTGTGAAAAACATTCAAAATGCTACTCCTCCTACAGTTTTGATCTGATTTCAATATAACTTGGCACACAAGTAGACTATACTAAGATGCATAATTCTGTGTATCGGTTTTTGATTTCGATGAACGGTGTTGCCATGGTTACTAAAAATAGAAATTTCTGTGAAAAACATTCAAAATGTTACTCCTCCTACAGTTTTGATCTGATTTCAATATAACTTGGCACACAAGTAGACTATACTAAGATGCATAATTCTGTGTATCGGTTTTTGATTTCGATGAACGGTGTTGCCATGGTTACTAAAAATAGAAATTTCTGTGAAATACTTACAAAATGCTACTCCTCCTACAGTTTTGATCTGATTTCAATATAACTTGGCACACAAGTAGACTATACTAAGATGCATAATTCTGTGTATCGGTTTTTGATTTCAATGAACGATGTTGCCATGGTAACTAAAAATAGAAATTTCTGTGAAATACTTTCAAAATGCTACTCCTCTTACAGTTTTGGTCTGATTTCAATATAACTTGGCAAACAAGTAGACTACACTAAGATACATAATTCTGTGTATCGGTTTTTGATTTCGATGAACATTGTTGCCATGGTTACTAAAAATAAAAATTTCCTTGAAATACCTTCAAAATGCTACCCCTACAGTTTTGGTCTGATATTAGTATTACTTAGCATACAAGTGAACTACACTAAGATACATAATTCTCTGTACCAGTTTCGGATTTTGATGAATGGTGTTGCCATGGTTACTAAAAATAGAAATTTTCTTGAAATACTTTCAAAACACTACTCCTCCTACACTTTTTGTCTGATTTCAGAATAAAGTTGCATCCAAGTAGACTACAGAGATACATAATTGGTGTTATTGTTTTTTGATTTTGTTGAATGATGTTGCCATGGTTACTTAAATCAAAATTTCAGTAAAATTGTTTTAAAAGGCTACTCCTCCTACAGTTTTAGTCTGATATAATAATAAATCTTGCCAAAAAGAGACTAAACCAAGGATCATTATTCTATTTATTGCTGTTGCAAAGTTTCAAGTCCAAGTGCTACTTTTATCTTCCTTTATAAATACAACCAGTAGAGCTACAGTCTCATCAGAGACTTCTGGTTTTCTTTAGGGACGAGAACTGAGTTAAATAAGCGATACCACTTAGTTTTCGAGACCTTTGATCATCGTTAGGAGTGGGAATCGAGTCAGAGGAATAACATCCATGCCGGACGTTTTTATCGCACATGATGAATTTATTTTGTTCTTTAGAGAAAGTTTAAAGTTTTGTACTTTGGATACAGGAATGAGGACAAAATAAGAATACACTTGGCGGTCCTTCCATCTGCAAGAGAATAGCTACGTTGTGGCTCATTGATGGCAGTTTCTCTCACTTTGCAAATAATAGGGTTGTCTGAATTGTCTTCAGAGTTTTTCCTAATAAGACCACAAACAACTGGATAAATGTGTGAAAGAGACACATGAGATTCGGTACACATACATGTTGTTTCTTCTAAGAAACGAACAATACTGGGTATAATGATGTGGATTTCAGCCAAAGCGATTCCCACAGGCATTACCCCGTGTGCTCCTGTATAAATACGCTGCTTTCCTTTTTTTCCACTTTGGGTCTCTTTTTATGGGTTCTTTTTTTGCGACATAAGCCATTTTGAGATTTTAGACTTCCACATTTTCGTTAGACTTCAATCTTGCGATTTGTTTACGAAGCCACTACACATGCGCAAGTCTTTCTTTCTCTTAATTTTTTGTGTGACCCAACAGAAATCTTTTTTTAACAATAGGAACGAGAGAATTTAATTAGACACTTCAAAGCTTAGAATTTACTGTTAATGAATGATAAAATATAATAATATAAATCATGCTAAGAAAATTAATGTAGATATTTAAATTATTTTTCAAAATCAAAAAAATATTTACAAAAATTTGAAGAAAAAAAACAACTAAAATTTGAAAACAAAACAGGAGGGGTTATTTATTGAAGTGTATTTCATTTGCAAACCTCTCTATCAAGCATCATTTCAAATTAATGCTGTCTGCTTTACCCCTCCCCGTCCATTTAGGACTTCTAAAACGAGTAAAAAGACTCTACAAGACTAGAATATTGTAAACTTGTTTGCGAGCATAAAAAAAATAATTTTTGACGAAATTTATTGTAAGTAGGAATATCAAAGTACTGATATTGGTTTGCAATGCATTATATTTACAATTCATGAACCAATTATACATTTCTTACTTGTTTGAAATTGACAAATTCTGCCTATGGCTGAGTATTTTGAGAGAGCATTGTATATGTTCTTGTTTAAGCAGAATTCATAATAATCGCTTTTCCCGCAGTCTCCAGTTCATTTGATTATAATTATCGTCATAATACGATGTGGCATAGACTAAGTGAATGTTTCTGCTAATCAGTTCACGAACAACAGATTTCAATCATTTCAAGACCTCTTAAATAAGAACAAATGCAAGACAACTCCTTTTTATTTATGAACAGGCTGGTATTCTAGAAGAGCATCTCCTGATTTCTCTGGAACCGGAAGCAGCAGCTGTTCTTTGCAAAGAAAATCATGTAGATGCATATCACAAAGCCAAATGCGAAGACATCCTCAATTTTGACTTTGGTTCAGAATTTGTTGTGGCTGATTTGGGAGGAATGTTTGGAATTTTAATACAATCTATTACTAAAATCTCTCTCTCTCTCTCTCTCTCTCTCTCTAATAAGCTCACATGAGTAATGTCAAAAAATTATGTTTTTTAGGTTGAGTAATATTTCAAATTTATGTTATATTTGAATGCGTTTGTATGCGAGATGACGATGTTTACATCTTTACCCCGAAAGACCAGTTATTTTCATATTCAACCGTCTATCAACCGATTTATTTGCTTATGCTTTCAGGTGGAACTGTAGATATCACTACAAACAAGGTTTTGCCTTGTGGAAGTCTGAAAGAGCTGAAGAGTTCCAGAGGAGGCGATTGCGGAGGTACCATGGTCGATAAAGGATTTTTCAGCTTTATAAAAGATTGTATTGGGAGCGATTATGACGACTTTAAGCGGGAAAATCTCTCCGATTTCCACGATCTCAGGCATGCTTTTGAAGTGAAAAAGAGGCGAACAGGAGGGACTACTTCAAAATTTGTAAGCCTCCCAATATCACCTGCTTTTGCACAAAAAATTGACAGGTCCAAATTGAAGGAGTACAACACTAGCATAGCAATCCTTCGGGGAAAATTGCAGATGCCGATCGACTTTTTTCATTCCATTTTCAAAAAACCAGTGCAAAGTATGATGAAATGTCTCGAAGAGGCCGTAACAGATGAAATAAAATCCATCCTTCTGGTGGGTGGATTTGCCAATTCAGAAATTGTTTTCCAATCTGTGAAGGAAAGGTTTCCAAACAAACATGTTTACTGTCCACCTGATGCCGACTTATCTGTCTTGAAAGGGGCTGTTATCTACGGACACAACCCTGACCTTATAGCCAGCAGAATCTGCAGGGTCTGGCATGGAGTAATCCTGAATGAAAGTTTTTTTCCAGTGAATCTAGAATGTTGCAAAAATGACTTTTACGTCCTTACACAAAAAGGTCAACCAATAACGGTAGATGCTAGAGTTATTCATCGCTTTAACGTAGACGAAAAATACGACATGAAAACCCTCCGTCTAACTATTTTCTCGTCAGCTGCCGATTGCTTGCCATCTTCTAAATCGGAAGATTTAAATCACGTGGTTAACTTTGATCTGGATATACCACCCAGAAAAGCGGGGATAAGGATGATACAGCTAGCAGTAAAACTAAAGGGAACGCAATTCGAGTTCAAGGCGAGCGTAAAATCCATAAGTCCTTGTGCTTTGGCTGTAGTCAAATCAACTTAGATACAGTAATTAATTCTGACAAAATTCTCAAGTTGCTTTACCTATAATATTTATAATTAAAAAAAATTATCAGCAACTGAACCTATTAGATAAGAGACATTGTTATCTTTGGACTTGCTCATATACAAAACTATGCATGGTAAGAGTAACATAATAAATCTTTATTGCACCGAACTTTTATTGCCAATAAGGCGAGAGAAATTTAATTTTTAGTTTTACGAATTTTTTTTCAAAAAAATTGGGTAGGAGGAGAAAAAAAAGAGAGAGACAGATAATTTTTATCATTCAATTAAAATTTGAACAAACCTTTATGTATTTTGCCATTCATTGCAATTTGTGTCGCTGGTTGACACATGGAATCATAAACATTAAAGATTGACTTTTAAAATATCACATACCAGTGTCAATTTCTTGGACATGCCAATTTACAAATGGACAGTTTTCAGATACTCAAAGAATATCGGTCGTATAATGAAACCTTAGCTAACACTTTCCATTACCTGCATAGGTATATTTCTCAAAAACCATTAGTCTTTAGGGCCTTGTTATCATCTGAATGATATACTAGCTATGATTTTAAGTTCTTGAGAAGAAGATATTTTCCTATAATTTCCTATGTCAAATTTTCGATCCCCCATTGTGGCCCGACCCTATCCCCGAGGGTTCATTATTTTAACAAACATGAATCTACACTACCTGAGGATGCTTCCATATCAAAATGACTAATCATGGCTTTGCAGTTCTTCAGAAAAAGATATTTTCCTATATATTTTTATGTAAGACTTTGATCCTGCATTGTGGCCCCGCCCTACCCCGGGGGGTCAGGATTTGAACAAAATAGAATCTACACTACCTGAGGATGCTTCCATATAAATATGATCAATCAGGGCTTTGCTGTTCTTCAGAAAAAGATTTTTAAAGGTTTTTTTCTATATATTTCTATGTAAAACTTTGATCTTCCATTGTGGCCCCACCCTACCACAGGGGGTCATGGTTTGAACAAACTTGAATCTACATGTACACTATCTGAGAATGCTTCCATATAAATATGATACATCATGGCTTTGCTGTTCTTGAAAAGAGGATTTTTAAATTTTTTCCTATATATTTCTATGTAAAACTTTGATCCTCCAGTGTGGCCCCGCCCTACCCCGGGGGTCATGATTTGAACAAACTTGAATTTACACTACCTGAGGATGCTTCCACATAAATATGACTCATCATGGCTTTGCTGTTCTTGAGAAGAAGATTTTTAAAAGATGCTATTAATTTTTTCACTAATTCTTTATTATCTCCCCTTGAAAGAGGGCGTGACCCTTCATCTGAACAAACTTGAATCCCCTTCACCCAAGGATGCTTTGTGGCAAGTTTAGTTGAAATTGGCCTAGTGGTTCTGGAGAAGAAGTCGAAAATGTGAAAAGAGTACAGACAGACGGACTACAGACAAAATGTGATCAGAAAAGCTCACTTGAGCTTTCAGCTCAGGTGAGCTAAAAAGCAGTACCCATATCATGATCACAAAATTTCATCCATGTATAAAGGAGTAGAATAAACAATATGTATCATTTTAAATACATGTAAATACGGCAGGGTGAATTAAGTAATTACTTTTATTCACAAGTCCTAGGTAATGTATATATGCATTAAACATACCTAACGACTTAGATAATCTGATCTTCATATCAAAATTCCTTCAAACTAAATCCAAAGAGAATAAAGAAGCATTATGACAGAAGCCTTAGTACATACCTTACTAAAATGCTATCGACGAAACTCTCTTTAATGAGGCCTAGTTGAAATGCAATGTAAGTAACCAGAGACCTATACACCAATATATAGGTCCCCGAAGTAACTGACCAAATGCCTCATTAAGAGTGTAGGGCTTAAATAAATTAGGACATTTCTGAATGCTGAGGGTGCTTTTGATTTACAAAATAATATCTTCAGAATAACACTAACAACCAAACCAAGCATGGTTTGTGTCTCCATTTGGTTAATATTCTTTGTGAATAAGACGCTTAAAATTACACATTCAGTGCTTACATTGTCAAACGTTTTGTAGATTTTAATTTATAAAAATAATTTTAAAGTCAAACTTGGGTGGATATGAAAATTCCGGATTTTTTTTTCTTTAGAAAAGGAAAAAATTGGGTCGGCGGATCCGTAAAACGAAAAATAAAATTTCTCTCGCCTAAATACCTTAATTTAGACACTCTGTGTTAATAATATTTTATCAAGTACTTATTACAAATATAACACTTATCACAGGATGAAACTGCGCCTTTCAGTCAACTGAATGGTGACTGAAGGACTGGAAGGGTGACTGAATGGCAGAGCTCTGTCATTCAGTCACCTTTCAGTTAAATGACTGGCAGAGACTCGAGATAAAGCGGCCATTGATTATTTCTGAGCAAAGTCCTTAGATTATAGAATGTGACTTCTGTACATATTTTTTGCACTTTCTTTTAAACTATTTGGCCAGTTTCAATCTACAATGCACACTTTGTCTTGGACCAACAATTTCAATATTTGTTTAATAATTTCAACTCATATATTCTAATAAATGTTCAATTCTGACTAAAACGCTATAGGCGCTATATTGGTGAACCAAAGACTTACAGTGTACATCTCTAGAGAAGTGCCAAAAGCTCTAGGTCTGCATAAGTTAATGTTCATGCACTCATTCCAACGGAATGTACAGCTAGAAATGAGTATATATAAGCGGTTTGAAGTTTTACTTAGGATTATGTAGAATTTAAGCTTGAAAGTTCTTTCTGTAGTTCACTTTGCAGTTTTCCAATGAAACTGGAAGCATATTGTACAGATTCAAGTTTTTCATGGTCTGTTTCTCGAAAATCTCTAAGTTTTCCTTAAGTTCTGATATTCGATATAGGAAAGCTCTCTCAATTTTTTTAACATATAAATATCATATATAAGTAGAGAAAAGCTCGTTGCAAAGCAAGCAGCAAAGTAGGTCGGAGCTTCGGACAAGAAATAGAGAGAGACCTTGCATCAAGGTCATAATACATAACAAATTATCAGGTCAAAAAAATCTTTTATGAGGTATCAACTTTCATGTTTCACCAGTAGAAAGGCAGTTAACGAATTTACAGTCTTTCTGTCAGTGACCTAAAAATTGTCCAAATGACCTTGTGCTAAGGCCATGACAGTCTCTGGTTAACGAATTTATAGTCATCCTGTCAGTGACCTTGAAATTGTCCAAATGAAGTATCCAAGAAATTGTCCAAATGACCTTGTGCCACGTCCATGACAAACTATGGCTATGAGCAATGCCCACCTGTGTATTTCCGACAAGTTCAACCATTTTCTTTCAGACCATACATCGAGTCAAAACATCTTATCCTCCGTAGTCGTAATTTAGTAGGTTCAACTAAATGATTTAAAGATTCGTTGTAAATGTTTTGTGTCCATTATGGATATTGAAAAATGTCTGATTTTCTTCGCTGGCCTTAAATATTAAAATCCTCTTTCTAAAGAGAAGTACGAGGTGCATTACAATACGGTATCGTACCATTCTATAACGCAAACCATATTGTCGGCATTACTACAAAATAAATATTTAATTCAGTTTATTGTTTAATTATATATGCTGATTTCATTTGAAATCTGAAAATTTCTTAATATTCAAATTAGTTATCAAAGACCTAAACATATTCAATTTTTAAAAACAAATATTCTTTTAACGTTTTAATCGAGTTGGCAGGTATTGTCCAAAGTGGTCTACACAACAACACAACAGTAGGGCAGTTGGTGTAAAGACGGATGACCTCCATCGTCTCAAGCCATGGTCCGGAGTCCGCATATAGCTCTCTCCTACCCGTGGCTGCTTGATCACAAAAAGTGTAATCATTTTATATTTATGTTTCTATATTATGACGTCATGTTCAACCAATGACAATATTTGTTTCCATCACAATTGAAATCAACTGACATCAACAGTATACTAGAAATGTTTCGTATACTTCGATTGGGTATTGAAGGTCACGTCAAAGTTCATTATCCGACTATGCTTTAATCGCATTGGTCAATATTTTAATTAGCTACAAAATATTCTCTTCTCATTCAACCACGGCCAGAATGGGAGAGGATCCTACATTTTGGCCGTGGTTTGCGACGATGGATGACCTCCGTAGAAAAATGACCGGGGGGGTCATCGAAAAATCATCCCCTAGCCATAGAAAAATGACGTTAGGGGTCAGGTTTTTTTTTACATGTGCAACCTATAAGAAATTGAGCCCCGTTGAAAAATGACCCCCATCCCAACAGAGTGAATCAAAGTTAAAAAGAGATGATTGATGCCAATGTTTGGGTCTCAACTGGTAATTCTCCTGCATTTTTCTGATTAACACTTGACGAACACGCAATTAAAATTTGTTTAAGAACTGTACATTACATGTGTTTCTTTTTATTGACTTATTTTGTTCTCAGCTCAAAATTAAAATTGCACAGTAGATATGTAACAGTGGCTATTGGTTAAAGATGCAATTATGTCTTCCAGAACGAAAGTCAGGACGATATATTGTTATCGCTAGACCTATTATTTTGTCCGATAATTTCCTCGGACGTGACTTGGATAAACTTAATGAAACGTCTCAGAAATGACGATCAGCAAAACAAGATGTTCATTAAATACCAGTATTTTGATTTTTAAAACTGATCATGACCACCGTTGTCATGGGGAAAGATTGCCAACGAATATTCTCACGGTTTGCTATTAAAATCATTGTGAAATTTCACAAATGCATTATTTTACATTTAAGATTTTTAAAACTGTTTCCATTGCCGTAGAAACGATTAAACAAACTTTTTTACATTACGAAAGTGAACTATAACGTGCACGGGTACAAAAATGCCGTCAGATGGTCATTGGGTATGTCTATTGTATGAGGCACCAGATTGGCATTTATTGCCATTTTTGTGATATTTCCTATTCGTATAGGTGATATCACCCGTCTGAAAAGGTGATATCACTCATTCAA